CACCAAATGAGGGTTACATGCGGCAAAATACAAAGCAACAAATCCTCCAAGCGAGTTCCCCACAATATAGACAGGTTCACCGATAACCTGCAAAGAAAAATGGTTGCGTTTACATTGCTCATGAGTAACAGTCCAGGAAGTGATGAAGAAAGCTATTTCTCATATAGAAAAAACTAAAATTAGATGTTATTTCGCCGCAAAAGAGTAGAAGTCATACAAACTCAAGCAAAGGAGCCATGTAAGATGCTCAAATTAGCATAAACAACAATGGAAAGAGAAGAAACGAAATAACCTAGTTATCAAAAATGCTTCCGAAACTTTAACAAACAGAGGTTCCATGAGCTATAGTGTACCTCTTCTATGAAGTAACGAACTTGATCCTGCCATAAGTCAATAGAGTAGACAAGCTCGCTTGCCCATGGTTCGGGTTTTTCTCCAAAACCCCACGCTAAATCTTGCCCGTCTGACATACCTTCTTCGTTAATACGAGGGGCAGGGTCTTCAAAAGGCAATGACCTACCCTGGCCGAGGAAATCAATTGCCCATACTCTAAAATCACGCCCCAAATCTTTCAGTTGCTTCTCATAGTGAAAAGAACCAACCCCAAAACCAGGAAGAAACAGCACCGGAGGGGATCCCAAGTTATCGCATCCGGCTTTCTCATAATGTACATTGAATTTGGGCTTCCATTCCCAAAAACAACTACTTATTGGAGCACCAAATTCGCCTTTGGATTCGTCCGGTAGACCAGGAATCGAAACCTTAGTAACGGATTCCCCCGTTTCTGAAACATTTGCATCCGCATCCGCGCCAATTACATAGCCATCCGAGCTTCCACTTGATAAAATCGGACCAACATGCTTGAAGTTTTCTCTTGTGCTCAATGGCCTAAAACCTCCCCGGTATCTGAGTTGCTTCAAGAAAGACCGATCTAAACTGTAACACCTCAAAAGCTCGCTTCTGGGATCAAATTGAACACCACAAACTCCTTTTTTACTAACATCTGGGAGCCCGAATCGACGTAAATTTGAGCTTTTCTCTACTAATTTTCCCCTTAAATTTACAGCATCACAGCATGGTGCAGAACTGTATGAGAGTATTTCCATATCCACAAAATATATTCTACAAACATGAACCAAATCTGACATGAACAGAATTTCTGATCAATTTATCAATCATTAACTGAAATTAACACCTAAAAACAGTATAAGATAAATAACTTAATAGAAATTCTCCTTCTTTTTCTCAGTTGGGTTACCTTTGAATTCAGCAGAGAAGTGCATAACAGTTGCGATGGTTTTCGTGGAATGCTCAGTCAGTCTTCTCCAAGTATTTAGGAGATTCTGCCAAAATCTAGAGAGAGAGAGAGGGAGTTGCTTAAACGCTTCTTCTTCCTTCCGAAGACAAGGAAAAAGAAACCAACTTTTAAAATTTTGTGTTGAATAATTGTCCGTTAAACAACAAAACCCCACACCCTTCTACCGACCAAACACAAAGGGAAGTTTAGTACCTTGTGATGAAATTACTTGCACATTTGTTTTATAACCTTCTCCCAAACACGAAGCGTTCAACCAGTTAGTAACTTAAAGTGAAGCTAATCATGTATTTGTGCTTGTTCCATAACATTTTTCCATGTTTCAAATAAAAAAATGTTTCAATATCTAATTGTGAAAATATAATTGACAAACCAAGTGTTGTCGAAAACACAATGAAATGTTCACGACAATAATCGAATAGCTCAATGATTTATGATTAAGACTATTTTTCTTAAGTGATTTTGAATGAAGATCTAAAACAAAGAACGGTCAAATTATGGAAAGAAATATTATAGACTGCTCACAAACGCATAATTAACTTTATATTAAATTGTTAACTGATTAACGTTTGAGCGCTTTTATCTTCTTAGTAAACTGGTTAGCGGTTCAACAAAGAAAAACGAGATTGGATTTTACAAAAATGGTTTGGGTAGAAAAAAGTAGAAAGAAAAGAATAAGAAAGAGTAAATTGTAGCAATGGTCACTTAACTTTAACTTAATTGGAGTAATGATCCTTCAACTAAAAATCTATTGCCATTGGTCCCTCAACTCATCAAAATGTGCAGCTATGATCCCTCAACTAAAATCCCATTACAATTGGTTCCTCAAGTTTAATCCAACTGGAAAAATAGTCCCTCAACTTTAACCCAATTCGAGTAATGGTCCCTCAACTTTAACCCAATTCAAGCAATGGTCTCTCAACTTTAACCCAATTGTAGCAATGATCTTTCCAACATAACTCGTTTCAACAAAATTCTGATGAAGTTGACGAAAATGATCATAGCTGCATGTTTTGGTGAGTTGAGGGATCTCGACCTTAGTTTTAGCAATAGTCCTTCCAACATAACTCATTTTGACGAAGTTGATGAAAGTGACCACAGCTACACATTTTGATGAGTTGAGGGACCAATGATAATGAATTTTTAGTTGAAGAACTATTGCTCAAATTTGATTAAAGTTGAGAGATCATTACTACAATTTACTCAATTAAAAAAAAAAAACTATGAAAAAGACAAGTGTAGAGAAGACAGTAACATCAATATCATTGGTTCAACCAGATTCTTCAAAAGCTATGTTCCTCTGCAACTGAAATAGATTCCAATACCCACAATCGGATTCCAAGTGCCAATCAATCACGTTTCAGTGGGTCCAATCGCTTTGCACAATCCAAGGGCAATATATCATAGGCTGCCGGTTCGGGTACAGTGCTAGCACGTATTGTGGGTCGCAGCAGAGTGCGCCTATGCGAGCTATTTCTTTACGCAAATGGATGTATTATTTCCACTTCTTTGCATTGCTTGACACGTTTAACGCACCGCTAAGTTTGAAAAAGACCGATTTGTTGATTTCTCACTCGAATCGAACTTGTGAGGTGTGATAATTTCCTTCTAAATTAATTTTAGTCCATTACCTCTAGATTTTCATAATTAGTCAAAATCATTCATGCAATTAGATTTTTTCATTTTTATATGATATTTTATTCATTTCGGTCTTATGATATTCATGTAAGAAAATTATAAGCACAAAAACGTCATTTTATACGTAAATTAACCATTATTTACATTCATTCACTTTGACTAGCTCAACTCAACTTATCACAATTGACACATCCCGACCTAAATTAGGACGTGACTGGCACGGACCGAGATGTGACAACAGCAACCTCCTTTGATGCAACACATGACACATGATATCTCCTGATTTCTTGGGATTGTTTTCTGTTTCATCAATATTTCCTATATCATTAAAACATTCCTTTTATGTATTCATTGTATCATAATTATACTTCTAAATCAAGCAGTGTAGTCTATATAATTCAATGATAATTCACCTTCTGGATTATCGAGGGATTGAGCCAGTTTAGCTTCTCTTACCTTTGCTATATTTTCTGCAATTGCTGCTGTGCATTATCTTTTAACACAAGCTAACGAAGACACAAACGTAAACCCTAGAAAAACAATATTCTCGAATCCACCAGAACTAGGAGAAAACCAAAAGGTTTATTTGATTAATTCTTGAATCCACATCACAATAAAAGCCAAAAGGCTCCAATAGAGACTTAAACTCAGCCCTGGAAAGTTCATGGGTATTTGAGGAAGTGAAATGACATAAATCAAATGGAAAATCAGAAGTTTGATTTTATTACAAACATTAAACATTGTTTCAGAGGCTGAAAGTCATTATTTTTTGCGTTAAACATGATGAGGTCATGGTAACCATGAGCCTTCTTCTTCTTGCAATTCTCTTTAAAACAACGTATTATATGCCTAATTTTGATTCCAGAATATTTCTTATTGCATTTTCTCTAGTCATCGATTGAATCCAATATTTCCCAACTTTATTCCTTCTTTTCTAAAATTTGAAACATTTTATTTCTCTTTCTTTCTTTATTGGAATTGACTTATATCTTGTTCTACATTAGACTCCTCTACTTGAAAGAAACTCAACCTCGAATTTGTCTTTAAATTGACTCTGACACTAGAAATCACGAAGCTAGATAAGCACATATAATCTTTAACATGAGGAGCTAAAACTTCTTCAAACATGGATGGTATAACCATGTATTCGATTCCATAAATAACATTTGAATATGTAGTTGACTCATCTTGTTGTCCGGGTTCACATGCTTGGTAGTTCATCGTGTTTGATAATGGCTTATCTTCAATCGCGACATTACTTTGTATTGGGGACTCGATTCATGTGCTTGGTAGTTTATCGTGTTTGATAATGGCTAGGTACATCCAATAGCAAGGTTTAATGTCTAGTCGGATGACCATTATAATAGTTAGACATAAAATATTGTATATGGATTTCAACGTATTTGGGCATGAAAACCATTCACAATGCAGGTACAAGGTCACATGGCTAAATCAGAGGTATTGATAACTCAGAAGTATTCATAGTTAATGTCTAGTTATTTATATAACAATCATTCAACTATAATAGACTGTTCGAATAAAGTATGATCGTAAGTTAGCAAGGCAACACTAAACTATAATAATGTTTTCCTATTTTGGACTAGAAGTCTAATTAAACAAACATTCTATAAGAAAAGAGAGAGAGCTTACGTAAGCTTGGAGAATTGCTTACTTGAACATGTATACTTGCTCTTTAATTAATATAATATAGATTACAAAAATATGGAAGGTTACAGAGATGAAAGTTTACGAAGTACGGAAGAAAGCTTTGAATACTAGCTTAGTGTGAGGATTGAGGAGTTCATGTTTTTATCGTATGTTTTATGTGAATGAAGGAAAGCCTTCGTTTATACAGATACGAGACTGCAAGATTGCAAATAACTTTTCAAATAGTTACAAGAGTACAATTATTTGCAGAGAATTTTTTTTTTAAAGAAAAATTAATGAAAAAAATTAAAAAACTTTAAATTTTAACCAAAAAGAACAAAAATATGTTATAAATAAATAGTATAGCATTTCGTTAAAACTTTATTTTTTTTTCCATGATTGTCACTTTTTCTTCTTGAAGTATTCAGACTGTTTCTGCATGACGCGATGAGTTTTTAATTAATTTTTCCCGAAAATTTTGAAAAATGAAAAGCTGACCTGGTGAGTTAGGGAGAGGAGAGACTCATTCTTCTTCTTCGTGAAGACCATAAGCAGGAAAGAGACGAAGTCTCTGTTCTCCTCTCCTCCTCCAAGATCTTATTTTCTTTGTAATTCTCAAAATACAAGCCCAAATTTGATGCCGTTTTCAACCACGAGATCCACGAAACGAGCTCTACATATCAAGGTACTCATTTTTATTAGTCCGGTTTCGAAATATTCCCGATTCAGAATTTTAATGTAATTGAGATTAAATTTTGTAACTTGAAGTGTTGATTGAGTTGCTTATGAGCTCGGGAAGCTAATTTGACAAATTGGGGACTCGATTGATACTTTTGGGTAAGTTTCAAATCCGTTATGTACAATTCCAATGAGGAATTGTTCTTATAGTTGGAGATTTTTACCAATTGAGTTAAAAATTCGAAATTAATTTTTAGTTAGTTACTTGATAGTGGATTTGGAATTTATGTAATGGGTAGTTTTTTGCATGAAGAACAAGTAAAAAATCTGGAAAAAAAAATGTCCCTCCTGCTGCTGCTGTACTGTTTTCTGCAGTGCAGAGAGGCATTTTGTAAATTTGAATGTGCTTTTTCGGCAGTTTGATGATTTTCTAAAAATAGAGGGGTCCAACTGTAGTTATTGGGCAACATGCTTGCTATACAGCAAGAGACCATGAACATGCTTACTCGAGGGTACTTGGGAAATTGGGAATACAATGTTACGGCGATTGAGCGTTGTATTTTTGGGATCGTCGAGGCATGTGAATCATTCACATGCCAGGCTTTTGGGGCGTGACGACGAGCATTGCTCTCTTCTCTGTTATTTACTTTGCCACATCCTTGGTTATTCTAATGTTGTCCAAATAGCTCAAGAAAGTTTACCCCAGTAATGAATACACCACCACTTGTCTTCAACCAACATTTTTCTTCTGAAATATTGAAGTGCAATAATTTTTTCTCCTTTCTGGCAGATAAATCAAGTACATATTATGCCTTTTTTCAAAATAAAAAATGAAAATCTCGGGCTTGGTTGACGAAATTGTCGGAATTAAAGGTTAAATTGCTAGTTAGGTTAAACAATATATTGCATATACTACAATTCTACAAAGCAACAAGTTGGCAGCTTTCTTTCTCTATACATAAATGTCTTTCTATATCTCATTTGACTTACTCCCCTTCCCTCTTTCTCTCTCATTTCCTCAGAAACATAAACTGCAACCATGCCTTTGAGAAGAGCCTTTGAATCTGCTTCTGTAAGCCTGCTGCTTAACAAGTTGGCCAATCAAGATGTAATTGATTTTTTCCTCAAGTGGAAACTGGATGGCTCGCTCTTAACAAAGCTCAAGACAAACCTGCACATAATTCGTGCAGTTCTCAATCATGCTGAGGAGAAGCAAGTCAAAGACTTAGATGTCAAAGCTTGGATTGAAGAAGTCAGGGTTGCGGCCTATGATGCTGAGGACATTGTGGATGAGCTTGCTAACGATTCACTTGAATCGCAATACAATAATAAGGCATTGAACTACGTCTGTGACTCTTTGAATGCAAATGAAACAGTCAAGGAAAGCCTGGACTTTAAGATGAAAGACGTTGGTAATGCTCTGAATCCATTTAAGGAACGTGTAGAGCCAAAGCTGAAAAAGATCATAGAAAGATTAGATGAAATTGCAAAGCAAAAAGATATTCTTCGTTTGAGAGAAGATGCTGGAGGGATGTCGTCTGGGATTGATAGATTGCCGACAACTCCAATGGTTAATGAATCTCATGTTTATGGCAGAGAGTTTGATAAGGAGGAAATAGTCAAGTTGCTGGATTTGGGCAAGGAAAATGATGATGGGATATCCATAGTTCCAATTGTAGGCATGGGAGGCATGGGAAAGACAACACTAGCTCAAATTGTGTATAATGATGAGGTCGTGGGTCGGCATTTTAACTTGAAAGCTTGGACCTGTGTGTCTGATGTATTTGATGTCTGCAGGATAATAAAAACACTTGTTGAGTCGGTGACCAAGAGTACTTCAAGCACAAGCAATCTGGAATTACTTCAAGAAAATCTCAAAAGATTGTTGGACAAGAAGAAATTTTTGGTCGTTTTGGATGATGTCTGGAATGATAATTATCAAAGTTGGGATGAATTAAGAATACCTTTCATGGTTGGCGCTCCCGGGAGTAGAATTATAATAACAACACGCTCTAAAAAAGTTGCATCAACTGTGGGCACTGTTGTACCTTACAATTTGAAGGCATTGTCGGAAAATGATTGCCAGTCATTATTTGAACAAATTGTGTTTGATAACAGAAGTTTAGATGCCTGTGGAAACTTCAAAGTGATTGGCAAGAAAATCGTAGAGAAGTGTAAAGGGTTGCCTTTGGCTGTGAAGGCGCTTGGGGGTCTTCTGCGCGCTGAACCTGAAATGGATGAGAATTTCTGGAATGATATCTTGAAAAGCAAGATGTGGGAACTTCCAGACAACAACATTCTACCAGCTCTAAGGTTAAGCTACCATCACCTCCCAGGGAATTTGAAGCGATGCTTTGCTTATTGCTCAATGTTTCCTAAGGACTATGAATATGAGATAGAGATGTTAGTCATGCTATGGATGGCCGAGGGTTTTGTGGAGCCAGATGGAAATAAAAGAATTGAAGATGTAGCGGGAAGATATGTTTTGGAATTACTATCAAGGTCCTTCATCCAACATTACCTCAATGACGCGAAACGATTTGTGATGCATGACCTCATCCATGATCTAGCGCAATCTGTTTCTGGAAAAACATTTTTCAGGTTGGAGGAAAATGCAGAGACTAATAGTGAGCTGCCCACAAAAACTCGTCACTTGTCATACATTCGCAAACCTGAAGATGTTTTTCAGAAATTTGAGCCATTCAGCAAAGTTGAGTGTTTGCGAACATTTCTACCATTACATCCGATGCATGGGTTCAGTCTCAGCAGCATAACCGACAAGGTTCCTCGTGATATGATGCCAAAAATGAGATTCTTGCGGGTGTTGTCCTTTAGTGGTTATCTCATAGCTAAGTTGCCAGATTCAATTGGCAATTTGAAAAGTCTTCGTTACCTTAGTCTGTCTCATTGTGAATTAGAAGAGCTACCTGAGTCAACAAGCAGCCTATACAATCTGCAGACGTTGATATTATTCAGATGTTTATCCCTTACCACACTGCCTACAGATATGGGAAACCTTAAGAATTTACGGCATCTCAACCTTATTGGAACTAACCTGAAAAGTATGCCTCTGGGAATGGGAAGATTGACTAACCTTCAAATGCTGTCAGATTTTGTTGTGGGGAAAGCCACTGGATCAGGGATAGCTGCGTTCAAGGATTTGTCACATCTTCGAGGTTCCCTTTCCATTTCTGGTTTGCATGTGGTGGGCAGCGTTCGAGATGCAATTCAGGCCAAATTGGAGGCAAAAAATTATCTTGATGAGCTAGTTCTGGATTGGAGCAGCAATGGTAATAGTTCACGAGCTGAAAAAATTGAGACGGATGTACTCGATGCATTACAGCCTCATGAAAACCTGAAGAAACTCACCATCAAGTACTATGGTGGTACCGAATTTCCAAGTTGGATGAGTGATCCTGTGTTCAGTAACATGGTATATCTGCATCTTTACGGTTGCACAAAGTGCACATCCTTACCATCCCTTGGCCAACTACCTTCTCTTAAAGACCTTGTAATTGAAGGAATGGATGGAATAAATCATGTTGGACTTGAATTTTTTGGGGATGGTGATGATTCTCGAATTCCATTTCCGGCGTTGGAGACTTTGAGATTTAAGAACATGAAAGAGTGGGAGGAATGGTCATCTATAGAAGATGGAAGGCTCGATGGATTTCCTGGCCTTTGTGAGCTTTCCATATTCAGATGTCCGAAGTTAAGAAAGTTCTCCCATGGATTTTCCTCCCTGAAAAAGTTGCGCATCAAGAACTGTGCAGCTTTAACTACTTTTTCTCGTCTTTCTGAACTTGGAAACTTGGAACCTGCAGAATTCCCAAGCCTTCAACAGCTTGTTCTCGTAGATTGTGGTGAGCTTGATGAACTTCCTGTTACTATCCCTTCATTGGAATATCTAGAGATAGATGGTTGTAAAAATTTGGCTGCACTTCCAAGGCTAATGGGCCTTTTTACATTGTCCGTGTTAGATTCTAGTGTTGAACTACTTGGATGCATGATGGAACTAAGCTCACTAACCTCTCTGCACTTGAATAATGTTTCACATGTCAAGTCTCTGCCTGAGGGCTTGGTGCAACATATCGCAAAACTTGAAGAGTTGAGTTTTGATAGCTTTCTCGAACTTGAATTCTTGTCAAATAAGAGATTGGGACTGGCAGGCCTTGCATCCCTTGGACGCTTGACCATCTCCAATTGTCCTAATTTCATTGCCTTACCAGATGAAGCGAATAAGCTCCCACCTGTGCTTAAATATTTGAGTTTGAAACATTCTCCAAGCCTGGTGAAGTTTCCACATGAGCTCTACAAACTGAAGTGTCTTACAGAGTTGAGAATTGAATGGTGTCCAAAGCTCGAATCATTTCCACATACAGGGTTGCCATCCATGCTTAAGCGTCTTGTAATCAGTGATTGTGGTGGTTTTAAGATCCTTCAGAAGGAGGTGATGAGCAACAACAATAGCCTTGAGTACTTGGAGATACGTAAATGTTCTTCTTTGACATCATTTCTTGAGGAAGGAAACTTGCCTCCCACCCTCAAACACGTAAAAGTTTGCTATTGCAAAAGTCTGCAATCATTGCCGGAGGGTTTGATGTGCAAAGACAACATGATGCTTCAGTTTTTGGAGATAGACAACTGCCCCTCTCATGTCATTCCCAAGCGGTGAGCTACCCACAACACTTGAGCGCCTTGAGATCAGCGATTGCTCTAAACTCCGGACCTTGCCATCCAGCCTTCTCAACCTCCTGAATCTGGAAATCTTGCAAGTAACTGGATGCCCCTTTCTTGAGAGTTTTCCGAAAGGCGGGTTGCCAACAAACATAAAATCAGTTATAATTTCTGAATGCGAGGAGCTCAAGTCCCTACCGGAGTTCATTTACAAACTTAAACGTTTGCAAAAACTTGAGATATCTGGTTGCTCTAATCTCATCTCCTTGCCAAAGCAAGGTCTGCCCACCAGCTTAAGATTACTTACAGTTACTGATTGTGAAAAGCTCAATCCCGTAGATGAATGGAGGCTTCACAAACTCCACTCTCTTCATGATCTCACTGTCGGTGGATTTCCTGGCCTCGTGTCCTTCTCAAGCGAGTTCCTTCTTCCCCGCACTATAACATCCCTCATCATCCAAAGACTCCCAGATCTTGGATCCATATCGGAGGTGCTCGAAAATCTCTCATCGCTTCACAAATTGGTCATCAGGGAGTGTGATAAGCTCCAATATTTGCCAACGAAGGGGCTGCCAGCAACGCTTTGTCACCTATCAATTCATCGCTGCCCTCTTCTGCTGCATCGGTGTGAACGAGACAAAGGAGAGGATTGGTCCAAGATTGAAAACATCCCCTATGTGCATATGAGTTAATGGCATGAAGATAATGAGAAACAGAGGAGTTTTCTCAGGTATGCTTCTCATTTCCCTACAAATTTACGTTCATATTTTAGCACTATTTGCACATCTTTTGTTTTGAATCAAAACCCTTTATTCTCCATGAAGTTACAAGTTCATCTAACCACGCCGCTTTGTAAAAAATTGCAGCAGCACTACGACTGACAAAGGATGAGCAGCTTACATTCGCTGCCCGTAGTTGTGACCTTGTTACAGCCAAGATGTAAATACAAAGCATCTTCTTGCTCAAAGCACCTCCCGTCTCACATTCATTGAATTCAGGTCAAGTACTGTTTGTTATTTGGCTCCAATTTTTTTAAATACGAACTCTACTTAGACTCATTAAATGTGAGAAGTCGTTCTTCTTTACTGTCGATCACTATTTGACAGACTTGTAAAAATCCTCACTACGACTACAAAAAGAAAAACTTCTACACTCGTTTCAAAACATAATTTTCCTACTAGAAGGGAAGACTCATTTGTCATCACAGAATTTGTTATGGTAATCAGGAGTATCTGATACTCCGGAGTGGAATTAACATGGGTGTTGGCGATGAAATCAGTATTCTCATTTGCATTGAAATCAGTGTTTTAAAAAACGCATCATGAGGCACACCTAGGTGGCTTTGGAGGTGGGGCGGCGGTCAAATCACTTCTGCATAGTGTGAGTAGGTGAAAACTCGCCTAGATGTGGTTGGGGCGCTCCTTAGGGCGTTCTGAGGCGGCCGAAATCCTTGCACTCTTTTATTTTTTCAGTTGCAGCAGCAGCGTCTTCACGAAGAAGTATTTTTTTTTCAAAGGACTTGGCCCAAAAAATCTTTTAGGCCAAGTCCTTTTTTCATAACCCACAACAGTCCCCCTATTTTTTGGTAACCATAGCAGTTCCCTTTTTTTTGTGAACCCACAGCAGTCCCTAATTATTTAGATCCCGTAAGGCAAAGCCTTGTTAAACCAAGTCTGACTCTAGTTCTGATTGTATATTATGTTTTCGGTTCTTCCACACATATTGCTTATGTATTCTTCCTAAGAATATTAATGATCAGTGCCTGGCTCGTTATTGAGTTGAGATTAGAAACTTTGTACTATTATCTTTCACGCTCAAGTCTCAAGACTTTTGCCTAGGTGTGGTTGTCCATGAAACACTTCGGCTACGCCTTGACCTTTTAAAACATTGATTGAAATTGACATCGGTAATTAGCATCAATTTTCTTTATGGAAAACTCATATGATGTGGTTTGATACCATCATGAATTTGACGACTCCAACAACAATATAGGAGAACTGTATATTACTCAATTTCCTGAAAAGCGTCTGCGGCTGCCCAACAAGCTTACTTATCTGTTCATCTCCAATCTGCCGAGTCTTTGGACCATCCGAGGCAAGGAGTTGGCACACCTCTGCTCTCTTGAAACTCTGGAAATATCGGAATGCCATAATCCAGTCTTAAAATTCAGTTTGAATCTCCCGACTTGGACTCGACGACTCTACTCTTACTCTCGGCTAGGGATGGTCAAATACACATTGGTTATGGGTATCGCGGTTATTCGCTCATTTAAATTTGACGGTTACGGTTATAGATTACCGTTTAGATAAATAAACGGTTATGAGTATAACCGTTTACCCGTAAAATTTAAATGGACGATTATGGGTATTACATGCGGTTATAAACGGATACCCATTTAACCGTTTATTTTAATATATGTAAAACTAAAAAAAAAAAAAAAAAAAAAAAAAAAAAGAAAGGTTTCTAACTAGGTTTAGTATCCTGAGATACATTTGGTTATAAAGAGCCATATAATATATATATATATATATATATATATATATATATTGCTTAAGGCACACAATCTCAACCACATAATTTCATTAAAATTAAATCCAACAGTGGGGAGCGTGTCCTCATTTTTTTTGAAAAAATGGGGATCCCTCCCCTTAAGCAATCTCTATATATATATATATATATACCTATATATATTATCAGAGTTGTTAGAGATTAAAGTGAAACGGGAGCCATATATTATTATGTTTATTTTCTTCACTAGTATCAGATAAGATAAATGAATGTAGAGAGAGACAAATGAGGAAAACATGATTATTACTTTCTGCTTTTCATCTTTTTGTACTACCCATACGATACAAGCATACGTCACTTTTAATGCATGTAAAAGGCTTACACACCAAAACAATAAAAACCAAACTTCTACTATTTAAGAAATATAATTTTGAATTGTATTCTTCCACTTTCCACCCTTAGCCATATGTGGTTGTTTTTTTTATGTGGACATTCACACCAATTTCACAACGGAAATCATTACTTGAGTATTTATAGTCTCAACAACTACTAATGCTAGTGAGAAACAATTCAAGAATTAATTACAAAAAACAAAAAGGCACAACTTTGTATTACATGTAGGCCAAGTAACACCATTATTTTTCTTAAAAAAGGCACAAGGTACGGAGAAATATCATCACAGTAATTCCCAAGCCTATCTTTTCTCTTTATGCAATTGCACCCCTCTCTCTCCTTCAGTTAAACTTAGGCCACAACGCATTGTTAAACACGCTCCTAAAACTAAGTTAAGGAACTGAATGCTTGTTTACTACAAAGCCGTTCACAATATTCATCAAGCAATCCAAATAATCTATAAAATATGGTTTCAATTTCGATATTTTTTCAGCAATGATTGCATGAAACATTCACCATGAAGCATAAACTCTAATTTTACGTTTTTTTTTTTTTTTCAAATTATAGATTCAGCGTAAATTTATTGTTCTTATAATTGTGCTGAATTGAATATGCGTGAATAAGAGAAAAAAAATGGGATTTTTCAAACCCTACACGCATGGGAGCCGTAACCTGAAGCTGCGCTGCCCAAGCCACAAAGTCGTTCCTGCTCCAAAACTCTAAGGTCCAAAAAAAAGCCGTTTTTCATCACCTTTCTTATGAACCTGAGCTACCTGCAGTCGACCCGCAACCCAATTGGGCATATGCACCAAACCGTCCCACTTGTTTTTTTTTTTTTTTTCTTTTGGCCCTTGTTTTATTTTTGGCTCGCATGAAATAACAAGCCCATGGGTTAGGCCTTGTTTTTCATTTTTCCTTCTTAGCCCAATAATTGGGTATATAATTTGTTAACCTATTTATTTCTCATTTGTTGCCCAGCAACCCAACAACCACTCTTTTGGGCCTGCAAGCCACGACAGCCCCATATTTTGGGTCGTCACTCATTCTTTTCACACATAGATCCCGAAGCTATTCCCGTATACTACATATGTATATTGTGTTTGTTTGCAGGTATCATGAACCTAGAATTCGTACTTAAACTTGAACTTGAAGTTTTGAAAATAAGTGCCATAAAAATTCGAAATTTCATAAAACAATACACCCGTAAAAATTCGGAGTTCTTGTAGGTGATTTGTTAGGATTACATGTAGATGATGCTTTTAAAAACAACTGTAAAATTTAGTTTGTGCAAATTACTTTATTGTTCATAATTTTATTTTGTGATAGAAGACAAAAATGTTTTTCCACCCTCGTATAGTTGACAAAAAGAGTTTCATTAATATGTGGTTTAAATTAACTTCTTCCTTACAAATCTGTTATGTGTAAATAAACTAACTTGAAATAGGTCCAATTTTATGGAAAAAGATCATCTCCGGATCCCTTCCACTAAATCCACCCAATCAATCAATCCAGGACCTTGAAATTTGATCCAATGGCTACAAACAGGGGGCCTCTTTAAAAGTTATAATAACTTTAGCCGTTGGACTAAATTTCAAGTGTCCGAATTAGGTGATTTGATGGATTTGGTGGAAGAGATCTGGAAAGGATCAATTTCCCAATTTTATGGCCTAACAATTAGATTAGTCCAATTTTTAGTTATTTTTTTATTTAGGTCCATGAATAGGACTCCATGTGTCAGCACTTTTTGTTGTTAGGTTAATATTTTGCATTGTGATTACTATTTTACTCTACTACAGCTATTCAATGGAAAAAGGAAAAAAAAAAAATGATACGATCGGTACTTTGCTAGCTATTCTCTTTAAGAGAAATCGCTAAAAATATAGCGACTTATTCAAATAAAAGTCGCTATCTTTTTACCGATCCCTACCTTTTCAATTTTTTATTTTTAGTTTTTATTTTGTTAATGTTTCTTTTATTTCTCTTACCATAACAACAAGCTATCATATTCATGTTTTTCAAAATACATTTTTTTCCTTGCAAAGTATATTATAATTCATATTTAAAACCTAAATTTAAAGATATTTTTGTCACATCCCCGTCCGGACGGGACCACTTCCCGGACCTGACTCTACTGTAGCACGATATTGTCCTCTTTGGGCCCCGATCACGCCTTCACGGTTTTGTTTCTGGGAACTCACATGAGAACTTCCTAATGGGTCACCCATCCTGTGAATGTTCTCGCGTGCTACTCGCTTAACTTTGGAGTTTTCATGGAACCCGAAGCCAGTGAGCTCCCAAAAAGTCTTGTGCTAAGTAGGGATGAGAATATACATTTAAGGATCACTCCCTTGGGCGATATGGAATGTTACAATCCTACATCCTTAGGGGCCCGACATCCTCGTTGGCACACACGTGACCAGGGTTAGGCTCTGATAACAAATTATCATATCCCGGCCCGGGCGAGATCACTTCCTAGGACCGACTCCACCGTAGCACGATATTGTCCGCTTTGGACTTACCATTCTCTCACGGTTTTGTTTTTGGGAACTCACGAGCAACTTCCCAGTAGGTCACCCATCATGGGAGTGCTCTCGTGCGCTACTCGCTTAACTTCAGAGTTCCCATGGAACCCGAAGCAAGTGAGCTCCCAAAAGGTCTCGTGCTAGTTAGGGATGAGAATATACATATAAAGATCACTCATCTGGACGATGTGGGATGTCACATTTTTCTATTTTCTCGCTTTAAGAATCAATAAAAAATAGTTTCAGGACCTAATAATCGGTAGGATCACATCTAAAGGTTTTGCAATATTTTCCTTAACTCCAGCGCAAGATATTTCTTAAAGCTAAAAATTTCAAATTTTTTTTTTACAAAAAACTGTGTGCTATAAGCCAAAGTTAGAATCATTCTATTCGCACCACATATTTCCTAAAATTAATTTAGGACATTTCCAAACTTTTGGACACCTATAAATCTCTTGGGAGGCCTCGCTATTAGTTATATTATTTTTTTTATTTTTCTTTTTTTCAACTCAGGTACCCTATTAGTTGGCATAAACCCAGATTTCAGCTAATTTTTTACAATCTAAACTACCTATCATATAAGTACTTTTACAGTCTAAACTACATGTCATATAAGTACTTGTACAAGCTAAACTACCTATCATATTATAATAATAGTCGGCGTAAACTTAGATCTCAATTGATCTTTTATAATCTAAACTACCTATTATATAAGTACTTTTACAGTTTGAACTACCTGCCATATAAGTATTTGTACAAGCTAAACTACATATCGTATTGTAACTAACTAGCATGGTGGAATAAGTAATTCTATATGATTCTAACAGTAAGATGTAGTCTTCCATCTTGGTAATGTTAAAATCCTCCGAAGCTAACACAATCAATGTCAAAAGCCTCTTGGGCAATTACTTATATAAGACAACCAATGTATAATGTTCGCGAATCATGTAACAAATACCAGCAAAAATGAAGCTTACTGTTGTTAACGACTCAACGAAAACATGTAAAATAACTTGTAGTTCTCATAGCTTCATGCGAATTCAAATTCAAATTTAGATAATAATCTACAGGAATCGCGAGGAAAATTCAAAACATGAGTCATGTTTTATCCGACTTATGTTTTGATGAAACGATGAGATTTGATGAATAACTTTTTTTTCATTTTAATACAACAATATATTTTACACTAAAAAAGATGAGAGTTTTTTATGAAATGATGAGATTTGATGTGTAACTTAAAGTTTCATGTTAATTCTGGAAGAGTCATGATAAAACATTCAATGACAGTCAGTGCAATTTTGTTTTCAAATTATGGACACTTTAATTGCTCTACTTATTAGACCCTACGTATGATTGTGCAATACATTAGACCCATATCAAAACATGCGGATCAGGATCCTCTCTTGAGCAAAGGGTGAGGATTTTCCTGATCAAGTCCATCGGGCCGTTGAAATTTTATCCAACGGCTACAAACAGAGGGTCCCTCTAAAAGTTATAATAATTGTAACAGTTGGATAAAATTTCAACAGCCCGATGAGCTTGGTCAGGAGGATCCTCAATCTCAGCTGCAGATCTCGTCTGAGCCTTGGAACCTTTGGACCATCCTACCAACCCAAAATTCTTCTACTCCAAAAAATACGACGACCGTTTCGTCACATTTCCTTTCATTTTAGGGAACTTTAACGAAAAGCTTCCGGTACTGTTCACTTTAATGAAAAACCATATTTTTACACTAAAAAGTCAATTTTGGTACTATTTATTTACAACATTTTTTTGTCATTTTCGTTAAAACTCAAAATTTTCAAGCCTTTTTTATTAATTTTCCTTTCATTTTATGACCTCAAATTCAAAAGTCGACAACAAAAAGAATTTCATTTACAAGTTCCACAAATAAAGGAAATCTATATCAGTTGCCAAACAACTTTCAGTTTTCTTTTTATTTGTAAATCAAAAACTGTTACCAAAGAAGTTTAAAACAGGCCATTTTATGGCCACAAAGTATGAGAAGAAACCCAATTTAAAGGAAGAAACTGAAAGGGAAATGCTGTTTTAACCTAAATAAAGATAGGTGTGTGAGAAGTTAAAATGAGAGTGAAAAATAGCTCCCGAGCTGAAAAAAAAAACGTAATAGACACTGTGACACTGGCACAAATGAAAATATAAAATGTCATGTGTATTATCTGAAGACCGGGAATAAAACTGCACCAGTTAGTACTGTAGAGTGTTTGACATTTTATCCTCCAACAAAAGTGCTGGAGTGTTTGACTTCTAAACAATCATGTTCACAGAATCTGAGGCAAAAATCAGGTAACAAGTCATACTGCTTTCACAAAGAATTCCACAGTTTTCTGCCTCTGTTCATATATTCTGCAACAAAAATCTGCTTTTTATATTCTGTTCTGTTCCATCATATATTATTGCCCCACTTGAAGTTGTTCTCCTCACCACCTGTGGAATCGAATTTATCAATTACTTTCTACTTCTGAGTTCAGCTCATGGTTGATTTCATGCTTATATGTTCAAATAAGTTAACTGAATATTTTTCAGAGGGATCAGCTGCTTGTATATATTCTTGAATTGTATTTGATTTGGATGCAGCTAAAAGGAGACTCCGCCGAAATTTTCATAAGTTCCCTTCGCTAATGAAATTTATCTTCAAAGTTCATCTCACTTCAATTTTGAATTCCGGATCCGTACCTGCAGTCAAAGCCTCATACTTTTGTGTAAGAACTAAGTTTGGTTTAATTGTGCTTCAAGTTATTATAATTTGTATACCAATAAAATGGGAATTGGCCCAATTCTGTATTTTGCAGATACATATTTCTTGTGTTGTTTAGCTTGAAGTAGTTCTTATTTCAAGTAATCAAAGAAAACATGGATGATGGGGAGTTGGTTGCTTCAGACCACGCTTTGCTTCCAAATCCCAATTGCTCTAGCAATTTTCCAGGTTCAACTTCTGTAGATACATTTTTTGATGAAATTCTGAACACGCAGACATGCACTCACACTCACACTTGCAACCCTCCTGGCCCTGATGCTGCACATACACATACTTGCTACCACACACACACCCAAGTTCTTTCGTCCGAAGATGATGATGATGATGATGGCAAGAATAAAGAGCGTTCCATCCCGAAACCACAAAGAAGAAGGCCTCTGGGCAATAGAGAAGCCGTTCGAAAGTACAGGGACAAAAAGAAGGCGCACACAGCTTATTTAGAAGAGGAAATCAGGAAATTGCAGGTGTTGAACCAGCAACTTGTTGGGAAAATACAGGCACAGGCAACTCTTGAAGCTGAGTTTTTAAGGCTGAAAGGCCTTGTGCTGGAACTTAGAGGAAAGATTGATAATGAGTTGGGTGGTTTCCCCTTCCAAAAACAATGTAACAGTAATACTTATTTCAAGGAAAGTCAGTGTAATCTGCAGTCTAGTGCTGGGGCAATGGGACTTCATTGTCAAACCGATTTACCATGCTCCTGTCCACCTGTTGGGTCATCCGTCCAGGTTAGTATCGGTGCAAGGGAAAAAGCGATGGTGCCATCAGGAGGAAATCGTCAGCCTGCAGTAATTGATTGCCGAGCAAATGCAAATAAGGAGTCGACGCAAGCTGAGTAATTTACCGAAGCAACTATAGCATGTAAGTTCATCCTTGTATACCAGAGTAAATATCCGTAAACTACATATGACGATAAAAGCATGTTTGCTTATTAAGTATAGAATACAAGGATGGCCCGTATAGATGTGATTCTCATTCCTAACATACCATCCTTCGTTATCTAAAAGATTAGGAATGAAAATACAGTGGGTGTCATGTTGTAAATATGTGTTTGATTCCCAATTTCAACAAGATATCATTAGCAAGGGACTCGTAACACGGGTTTTATCCTATGCCAGAACAATTTCCCGAAAATGTAAGTAAATGTGTCCTATCATATTTTAGGATGTAATACATTGTGTAGAAGACGTGTAAGTTTATGTTCATAATATTTGTTGTTTTGGTATTTCTGAATAACTCAAATCATGGCTTCTCTTTTTTTCTTGATGCATCCTTATAAAATTTTTGTGGATGGAGTTTAATTAGAAATGAGAAGTCCTTTCTCAGACCGTGTATTGGGACTTGATTGTTGTTCTGCCACCAACCTATATGATGTTCGACAACAAGATGAAGATGCTAAGTTTCTTTTCCTAGTTTCCTTTCTCTATCAACTTTTCCCGACTGCGTTTTCATCGTTTCAGTCTCTTGTCGTCTGAATATTTCATTTTGCTTCCCTGGAATTGTTAAACCTTTGAGCTATGAGTAGACCTCTTCTTAGACAGCCAGGTTTTCACAAATAAAGGGCGTTGAGGGCGCACACTATTACAATGCGTAGCGTATAAAGCCCATTTTCATTGATTTAATCCAAAAAAGAAAGTTGTTATCAAAATTGATCTTATGGTGCCCATTTCGTATAAATATTCTCTTGCAATTAAGACATAGTTTTAATAAAATCAATCATTTAATAGATGTTTGTTACATGATATCTTTGGTTACATGAAAGACTCTCTTTTTTGTTAAGGTTAATTACAACCCTATTATATATAGTATTGATTTGCTCAGTTAATATTCCTTTTTTTAATATAAATGATATTTCACACTAATCTACCGTAAGAAAAAATATGAAGTTTGAATTCGAAATACAGTGGATTGAACAAGAAAACCATAACCATCAAGGCTATCTACCATTTGTTGAGTTGATATTTTTGTTAGTCAACCTTTACACATGATTCTTCCTCTGTTTACTATTTTGTTCCTAGCCGATTTTTTTAATTGACTTCAATTATATGTGAGGAGAAGGTTTGAGGAATTTCAAAGAACGGGGTGGATCAAAAAGGCTAAATTGTGAAGTTCACTCTGTCTTTGGGACTTGGTTGTAATATAACTGAGTACTGAGTACAATTACCCAGATATAAAATAATGACATCTAACAATTATATTTGGCCATCAATAAGCCACTCAGTATTACAATCTGGTTGTATTCATTTTCATTTGTAAGTGAGAGGTCTTACGTTCGAATCTCGTGTATGACGAACTCGATACCAAATTAGGTTGCCTATTGTGTGATACCAAATTAGGTTGCCTATTTTACGACTTAGCCAAAGTCCTTTCGAATCTCGTGTATGGCGAATTTGATACCAAATTAGGTTGCATATTGTGTGACTTAGCCAAACTCCCCATTCCCTTAGTGTAAAATATATCTTTGTACTAAAAACAAACAATTATATATGGCCATCAATACGTGATTGTATTAAATACTTAACCTAATGTACCCTAGTCAGTCCCGAGACTTTCAATAGTTTCTAATTTGGCTAATTGTTTTCAAGTAGTTGTCTAGGGATTCTAATTCGAGGACATTATCTTAAGTACATTATGGTTAATGAGAATTGTTATTAACACTCCAAAAATTTCATTCTACACTTCTCACAAGTGTATGTTTCTTTCTAATTATAGAAAATTTGAAGTGCTAAATAAGATTTTTGGAGTGCTAATGACAATTCCTTAGTTAATAAATAAGATCATTTTACACTACTTTATAGGCAGTTAGTGAAATGCCCAAACTATCAAAACCAGTGTGGCTTCAATTGTTAACAATATAAAACTTAAGGTACTAAATGAAAAATATTGAAGGTTTTTTTATTCGATAAAAACATTGAAGGAGTATATGGAAATTAACATAAATTAACAACATCTACTCAAAATGTGTCTCCATAGATAAAATTCTCAGATTACAGAGTGACCCTCTACAACATGAGCATACCACAATATCAACCTTAATGGGCTAAGCAGATCAGCGAAATGAAGACGTCGAAAGCCCACAACAATAATCAGGCCCCAAGACATCACTTGCCAAGAACTCTATCAACACATGGCTCACAAGCAAGACACCACTCCTCTCCCGAGGGGAGTGGGCAACTACCATATCTCAGTTCTATCCGTAGGGCACCCAAACAACCAGTGCAAGGCTCCTTATAGTGTCCATATGGTCTCTCTTCCCTACACAACTCCATCTTAAAGGCTACCTACTACATGTATAGTTCAGGATAAAGTAAAAGACCTTTGGATGTCTCCTAGGCATCCACCAAAGAAAATATTTCTCCACGGGCAGAGGACACCGCATCCACACGTCGGCTAGCATAGCATACATTGTTGAACTTCTGCTATATAAATAGTCACTCACTAAATCTGGTAATTGAGAACTCTATGAACTTTTCAGTTTTGCCTAAACCTCTTGTTGTCTTAAGCATCGAAGACTCTTTAGCAAACATAGCACCGGTGTTAATTAGTTGATTTTTGGTGTTCTCTTTTTCTTTTCTTTTTTTCTTTCTTTTTTTACTTTTTTTTATTTTATTTTATATTTTCTGGTCAATTCGCTTGGACAAAAATTTTCAACCACACGGTCCTTTTGAAAGTGACCACAAACCTCAGTGTGTAATTACCCCTTTGTGCATGGCCTCTCTTCCCGTGAAGCCAAATCAGCTCTGCAACTGCTCAACAGTAGTGCAGAAAATTAACAGCTGTGTTTGTGGACGTGCATCGACCGTTCGATCACTTGCATACAACAGGTATTCAAATTTTTCTTGTCAAATAATGATGGAGAGAAAGGGACATCTTTAACAAGGGCCCATTTTTGTCAGATTTCCACTTTGATTGGAGAGGGAAAGATGCAAGGACTCCACTCTTTATCAGAGTGTCGATCCCACTTATCTTTAACACACAAAATTAGGGTTCAACATTTTATCTGATTGAATAGTACATTGTGAATGCTTTCTACATTATGTATTGATTAATTATTAACTACATGAAAACTTAAAAGGAGGGACTTTTTCTTTAGAGAATTCAGATCATACCAATTTAATTGTATTTTTCAAGAATAAACACTTAGTTTAAGGAAAAGTATAGTAAGTTCAACAAAATATTTAGGGTCGATAGAAGCTTTATTGCATGACAGGCTATTACTAAATGAGATTATTTTCTCGAACGCAAGCTAATTTCTTTTAAGATTTTAAAAAATTTGTTGGGTTCTTGGGTTGACTTTTAGGATGCGTTTGTTTGGGCACGTTAACCCTTACTGAACTGGATTGGACTAGACCATACGTTAGTATAGTCCCGTGTTTGTTACTTACAGGGACTAAGTTTAATGGAATAAAGCGGGACTCGAGTGGACTATCTCCTTCCCTAGGAGGGCTTAGCAAGGCCCCCTGAATTCCATGGGATTGCTAAGACATCAACATCGCCTAAACCCACCAACCCAAAACCACAGAGAACCTAGAATCCATAATCAAGTCAACTCGTTTCGAATCGTGGAGAATCAAGAATCACCAACTCTTCATCTGCTCGTTTCGAATAGTGAAGAACCCAAAACCCAGAACCCAGAATCACCAACTCTTCGTCCGTTCATTTCGAATTGTAGAGAACCCAGAATATCTAACTCTTCGTCTTCTTGTTTTGAATCTCAAAGAACCCAGGATCAAGTTGTGCACTATCTCCTCTCTGCTCTCTCTACTCTCGCCGTCGTCCGTTCACCTTCGAGCTCACCTGGGTCCTCGCTAGTAAACAAAGTTTCATTAAGTTAGTCCAGCTTAATCTAGTCCAAGCCAGTCTAGCTTAGTTTTTGAAGTTAATTCAGTTTGAGATAGTCCGGTATAACAAACGCACCTTTATGGTTTTAGTAAGCGTGTCAAGGTCTGAGGTTTATTATTTTAGAGCTTAGGAATTTAGAATGTCCTGAGGAAGAGCTTAGGACGTAGTGATTTCTTTTGTTTTTTTAATGTATTATGTTTATTTATTTATTTTTTTTTTGGTGAACAAGTATTATGTTACGTATGCATGTTACCATTCGAATGTAATGACTTAATATGGTTTTGATGGTTGAGTTGGATATTTCTGTCTTAACAAACAAATTAGTTCAACTAGTATTAAACTAAAAAAATATAGCATTTAATTTAGATTTGATATTTAAACTAAACTCAAAAGTATTCGTGTAACCTCAATCATCAATGCAATTTGATGAAAATAACGTATATCTTTTAAAAACAACTACCAAATAGGAAAACATTTTATCATATAATTTTAAACAAAAAAGTTGATGAACATAATGTTTCCGGTATTTTGCATGTAGTCTAATATCGTAGTGAGTTGAGTTTTTACCCATACATTCCGGATTCGAAACTCAACTTTTTCCTAAATTATTATAATGTTGAACCCTCTCCCCTAATAATAGTATTTTTTTTTTAGTACATCGATATTTTTTCACTAAAGGGAGAAGGAGTTCGGCTAAACCACACAATGAGCAGCCTAATTTGATATCAAATTTGCCATCCACGATATTCGAACTTAAGACCTCTCACTTTCAACCATCAGATCGTAATACTAATTCGCAATAATAGTACTAAATTTAAAATAAAGTAAAAAATAATATTCCGGTGAACATTATGTGATCATATTGAGACGATAACCCTAAAATGATCTAATCATTTCCGTTTTGCTTTTTTTTTTTTAAAGAGATGATTCTTAAAAGTAAATCTTGCTAAAATGATATTACACAATATTGTAGGGTTGCCCCCATCATTGTGGCCCACTCTTAGGAGGAGCCTTTCATTTAGGTATCGTTTGGTATGTGGGACGGGACGGAACAGAGTAGAACAAGGCGTTCCGTCCCACGTTTGGTGCACCTAAAACGGGTGGAACGAGCTGTTCCACGGGATGAGTTTTGGGTGAATTTTCGTTCCACCTCACCCCCTGGAACAACTCGTTCCACATTCGTGGAACACAAAATTATAACCTCTCCGTCTCCTTCTCCCTCCTTGTTTCCATCCGAGAACATCTTTGCTCCTGCTCCATTCCGTTCCGTCCTGTCCCGTCCCGTCCCGTCTGCATACCAAACGATACCTTACCGCACCAAATCTAAAGCCCCATTTCAGCGTCGCAGGACTCGTTCCTTTGGTTGAGATCGCGGCAACTTCCTTTTTTAATGATTTCTC